ATAATTCAACGGAAATTTTGTTGGGTAATTAATAAGTAAATTATCATTTCATTGATATTTACTTTTAAATTAGTTTTTTAAAAAAATAAAACAATCTGCGTATTTATTTATTTTATTTATGAATTTAAATTTTCAGGGGAAAGTTCTTTAATGCAATTAAATGGAAATATTGAAAAATCAAATTATGAATGTCAATTGAATAATAATTTATTTCAATTTCAAAATAAGCCACATTTAAGTATTGAATATTTAGAAGATGAAAGCGTTAAAGAAATACGTAATACAAAAAAAAGTATTTCCTTAATAAATGTGAATAATGGCAAATATTTTAACATTGGATCTCAAACAACGATAAATGTCAATGAATTTCTTGTAGGAAAATTAAATTCTTTGACAAGTTCTTCAGTTGAATGGAATCAGTTGATGAATTGTGATGATGTAAGAAAATTGAATGTTTAATTATATATATTGTTACATGTATAACAATTGAATTTTTTAATAATTATAATCAATAATTAAATCAATAATTGTTTCATGCCATTATGTATTTTTAAGATGATTATTATATTAATTTTAAAATATTTTACTGTTTGCAGAAATTAACTGAAGATATTATCAAGCTCATAGCCCTTAATTACAGTGAAAATTGGAAAAGTTTAGGAAAAAATTTAGGATTTAATTCAGATGTTGTGAATGAAATAGAAATTCGAAATGTGAACAAAACTTTTATGGTTTATCATACTTTAAAAGTCTACCTTAAGATGTATCCAAACACTTCAATAGGATTTATTGCTAATATTTTAAAAAAGAATTGTCAATTCCTTATTTTAAATAAATTGTTGAAGATTAAAAATTAACTTTTATTCCAAAAATTTATTTTATTGAAATTCAAGTGAATAAATGCTAACTATAGGTAAATGAAAAAATCATGTTTCATATTTTAAATATTTTTTATTTTTACATACATTAAAATGATGATTTTGTTACATGTAATTAAACAATAATGTTTATTATGAAACATAGTGCAGAGCCTACAAAGAAACATTAAACAAATCTGGTTAACACTGTAAGTGATTTCTGATTTGACCTTCTATTATTATGTAAGTATTTTTATTAATGTAAATAATTAAAAATTTTCTGGTTTGAATTATTTTCTTGGTTGAATATTCGAGTTCATGTAATGTAACATGACTTATTTTTCAATGCATTTTTTGTCGCACATTTTGGACTTGGTCAGCAATGATTACAATAATTTCTATTTAAACTTGAGAATTTTATGAAAGTTACTTCTTCATTTTGTAGTTTTTATGAATTCTATACCCATTCTAAGTAAAAGAGAAGTTTATATTAAGAACAAATATAAAATTGATTTTTATAAAAAAAAAAAAATATTTCTCTGAACTTCTCGACAAAATTTATGTAATTAATCTTGTTTCGCTCAATGATTTGAATTTATTTCGACTTTTTTGATATTCTAAAAGTTATTTTTCTTATGTATTCCCTTCATGAAAAATTATGCAAAGGATTTTTGAGAATACTGGGAAAAGAAATTATTATTCTGTTAAAAACATTCAAATTTCCATTATGCTTGAAGATTAATTAAAAAAAAAATATAAGGAAGAATTCATATCAAATGTTGTATAATAATCACATAGTAAATTATACAATAAGATATGGATTTAATTGACCGAAAATAATTTTATTTTTAAATCGTTTTTAAACGGTTTTTTTTTTTTTCTAAATATATTTTTTTATTTCGTGTGTATTCGGTTCGGCAGATAATGTTGGAAATTATTTATGTAATTTAAGTAACCGTTAATAAAATTACATTAATTTATTAGGGAAAATATATTTAAAGGGGGGGGGGGGAAATGAATGAATTTTTTGAAATTTTGAAAAAAAACAATTTTGAAGAATTATCTACTTATTTGGTAATAATCCTTGACTTTAAACTCAAATCTTATATTTCGAAATTAAACAAATGGTTGGCAGGTTTAAAAAAATAAATCACATTTTTTCTGGGAGGATAATTTTCTAAAAAAAGGTAATTTTTTTTTTTTTTATGGAATTAAATAATTGTCAAGTCGTTTAATTTAAAATTTTATAAAAGTATGATAAAAGTTTCATAGAAGTTGATATGATTAGAGCCGCCATCTATAGTATCTGTTTCTAGAATAATCTGCTCTCATTAATAGTGGCTTAGTACAAAATCGTTCAATTAAATGACAGTATAATTTAATTTACGTGTTTATATAATATTTTTTGTTTATTAAATATATAAATTGGTTAAAAACTTTGTTTGAATGTTCAAATTCGTATGGTGTTAAAATATTTACAATTAATAATCACACATATTATCTCCGTAATAAACATTTTTAATCTCCAAGGTTGAAAATTTTTTTTTAAACAAATTAATTTGCTTCTAAATTTACGTTTAGTTTTAATGAAGTGTTTAAAAAAAAAAAAAAAAACAAAAAATGATTCTAACTTGTATTTTTTAAAATATACGTTTCTTTTTTTTTTAATATTTATGCAATGCTGTACGTAATCTAAGACGCATTTTCGTTTTTTTTTAATGTTATGCAAGTAAAAGAATATAACTTTCTACTTAAGTAAAGATGGGTTTTGATTTTTTTTTTTTTTTTTTCATAAGGTTATTTAGTTTGAAAATGTTTCATTTTTAGTTTTTTAATCTATTTTATTCTCTTATTAAAAGATTTTGTGCATTTTTTTTTAAATACTTAAAGTTTTAAAACAATTTTTTTTTTACTAATATTGTAGATATAGAATACCATGACATTCTGTAATATGTGAAAACTTTATGTATCATTAAGTGAATCAAATACAGCTTAATTAAAATGTCTAGTAAAGATTCACTTAGATTATCTCATGTTGGACTTGTGGCAAGGAGCCCAGAAGGTCATGCAGCTAAAGGAATGGCAATTAAGGGAAACGAAGACCTTTGGGTTGAAATCCAGGCTAATACATTTAAAAATTGGGTTAATGAACATTTAAAAAGGTAAGTTATTATTCATACAAAGTCTACATAGCTGATGAAAAGAAATTTACAAAATATTGAATGCACTTTTCTTTTTTATTTTGAATTTTCACCAATTCTTATTACATAATATTGTTGAGCAATGGAGAATTTAAATTTACATGTTAGTAAAATGTTTTCTGTAATTTAAAAATATTAAAATAATATAATTAATAAATAGGAGAAGATAATAAAATAAACATCTTTATAGAATAATAATGTATGTTAAAAAATATTAATAAGGATTTAAAAATTAATTGAAAAAAAAAAAAAAATTCTGCAGAGTGAATATGGAAGTAATAGACTTTACATCTGACTTCATTGATGGCACTCGACTTTGCGCTTTAGTTGAACTTTTGCAAAAAAGAAAAATTGGGCCATGGAATAAAAAACCAACAAATCAACATCATTTTTTTGAAAATGTCACAATGGCTTTGAATGCAATAGCTGAAGATGAAGTAAAATTAGTTAATATTGGTAAGATTATCATTAATATTTACAAAATTATTTTAATTCAAAGATTAAAGTTTGATTTTATTAGCTTTGTCTCAATAATATACAATGTAAATAATATTGAATTTCTTTTTCTATTTCAATTATATAATGAAAAAGACTACTGATAATAAATTGATAATGATTATATTTACTATTTATCAGTTATAAAATTAAACCCATTTTACTTTTTATAAATAACGTTTTTTAATTTGTATGAAGTTATTAATTGATTGTTTTTATGAATTAAACAAATTTATTTTGAGTGGGTGATTAAAGCCTTGATGCATGTATTAACACTATTGAACATATACAGGCATAGGTGCCTAGCCCACACTGACATTCTCTCAAGTTTAGGTCACTTCAAATTGGATGTAGGATGTTTTTAAAAAAGTTAATCAATGAATTTTTGTAAATACATTGCTTCCAATTGTAGGGAACCTTACTAAACAAAATTTTGTAAATTTTATGTAATTTATTTGTAAAACAAGAATTGAAATGAATTTTAATTTTCCTTTTTTTGTTGTACTTGTATAGTTTAATATTTAAAAAAATAAGATGTAACTTAAGTATAGAAAGTTTTTTAACTTTCAACAAGCTTGTGTTATAACACATGAGAATTTAAAAAAAAGTCTAGAAAGAAATTTTATTTACCCTTTAAAAAAATAAGGCAGTGGTGAATTTACTAGCCTACTTATTTTAGAGGCAATTCTAAGATGCAATAAAAAAGTAAATTTAAAAATCTAAAAAAAAAAAAATTCAAATTTTCCTCTCACAGGTCGAAAACCGTTAATAATTAATGTATAAAATTTATAAAATAAATTTATAAAATATTTTTAATATTTTTAGGTAATGTAGACATTGTAAATGGCAACTTAAAACTTATTTTAGGCCTTATTTGGTCTCTGATTGTTCGATATCAAATCGGAAGATCTAAATTTCCCCCCAAGAAATTGATGCTGGCTTGGTTAAAGGCAAGTTAAAATATATTTTAATAATAAAAATAAATTGTGTGGTGTCATTGTTTTTTTTTTGTTTAAATATTTAATAGTGAGTGTTTTTTAGCTAAAATCTATTACACTTTTTCTTATTTTAATCGGATATTTTTGTAATTTTTTTAGGCCGTTTTACCAGAATGTAACATTCAAAATTTTACAACGGATTGGAATTCCGGTCAATATTTAAGTGCATTATTGGAATATTGCAAACCTGGATTATTTCCCCATTGGAAAAGAATAGATAAAACCGACAGGTATAATTTAAATTTAAATAATTTATTATACACGTTAAGCATCTTGCTAAAAAAAGAAAAAAGTTTTTAAATATTTTTAAAAAATCATTAAAAGATTAATTTGTAATTACAAGACAATTTTTTTGTTTTTAGTGTTAACAATTGCCGGCGAGCAATGGAAATTGCTAGAAAAGAATTTAACATACCTGTTGTACTAGAACCAGAATATCTGGCCTCTCCCTTTTTGGATGAACTATCCGGAATGACTTATTTATCATACTTCATGAAGGAATACAGTCCAGGATATTACGCTACTTTAAAGTGGGTCCAAAATCAAATCCCTGAAAAAAACGTTAAAAATTTTACGGTATGAAATATATATCTCCAAGTGACATTTAAAAATTAAAATAATTAATTTTGGGTTTTAATTCTTTATTTTTAATATAATTTATTATTTAGACGGATTGGAACGATGGTAACGTTTTATGCAGCTTAGTTAAATCATTAGGAGGCTCTGTTCCCGGTTATAAATCTTTGAATTTCGACCCTTTGTTTTGGGAACAAAATTTAATGCAGGGTAAAGTTTGTAAATAATTCATAACAATGAAGTTAATCAAAATTAATTTTTAAAAAATGATTAATATTTTGTTTTGTAGGAATTAGAGGCGGAGAAAAATTAGGAGTCGAACCAATATTGAAAGCCAAAGACATGGCTGATAAAAATGTTGAGCATTTAGGAGTTATGGCATATGCAGCAAATTTTCAGTGGATTCCAACTCGAACTGCTCCAAATCAAAGGATTAAAGTTTCTTCTGAAAAACACAGTTGCAGAGTCAATGAAAATGTATGTGAATTAAAAAAAAAAAAAAACTTTGTTTGCTCCCCTGTACCTATAAACATTTTTTATTTATTCATTTTTATTTAAGGTATCTTTTTCAATGGAATTTATGGACGAAGATGTGGATGGTAGAGAAATTAAAGCGTTCGTCATTAGTCCAATCGGAATGACTGATTGTCGATTGAATTTGGGACAGTTTGGAGGAAAAGGGAATTTTGTACCTTCGGTGGTAGGAATGCATCAGGTTCGTATTGATTTTGTAACAAATAATTTTTTAAGCTTAGCTAATTTTTTATATACTTACATTGATTTAATTGATTGAAAAGTTCACAGTTGGAATCGAGGTTGAAAATCACGTATAAAAAAAAATTTATTTTTCAGTTGAATGTAAGTTATGAAGGAGAAAATGTTATCGGAAGTCCTCTTTATGTTAGAGTTGCTCCACCTCTTTCAAACATTGAATTTCCTGGTATAGAACCTTGTGCGATTGGAAGTATTGTCGAAGTATTGGTAAGATTTATTGATTTTTTTTTTTTTTTTTCTTATGTCGATATTTACTTAAAAACGTTGTTTGTCAAACATTTTTTCACGTAAAATATAAATTACGTACGGTAATTACATTTAATTAATAGACTTATTACAAAAATTTTTCTTTAATTGAAACATACAAATTATGTTAATTATTATTAAGGTAAATGAATAATTTTTTTTTTTTTTTTTTTTTAGGTAAATTCATACGGCGGTAGTGCGAGTAATGTCGATGTTACAGCTTGGAGTCCTACCGATCGATCTCTTCCTTGTCCTGTTCAATCCAAGGATGGAATCTATACTGCAAAGTTTCAGCCCGATGAAGTAAAACATTATTTTTGAAAATTCAGTTTTTTGTTTTTTTATTATCGTGTCCTCTAATATTTATTTTTTAATAAAATAGGTTGGTGAATGGTCGATTGCGGTTACTCACAAGGGTGAACACATCCAAGGAGGACCTTTTCCGTGTTTTGTATTCGATCCAAATGGCATTAAAGTACGAATACAATTATACTTAATATTTAAAAATAATTATTTCAATTTAAATATTATATTTATTTTTATTTAGTTGCTTAACACTGACGGCGCTTTACCCAACTTGCCGTTTACTTTTCTTTTGGATGCTTCTGAAACGGGAGGTTTAGGAGATATAAAGATAGATCTTGTTCACGAAAAAAAATCTGTTCCACATACATTTGAAAAAATTGCTGAAAATTTATATAAAATTAACTTTGTACCGAAACATAATGGGAAATACAGGGTTTACGTTTATTTTTGCGGTATGGATGTACGAGGTAAATATAAAAATTATGACTTACCTTTATAAAATTTTAATTAAACGTTTGGAAAATAATATAAATGTTCTTAACAGGTTCGCCGTTTGTTATAAGGGTGGGAACGAAAAAAAGAAATTCAACCTTACCGAAAACTACTGTAAAAGACGTTCTCTCTAAACCCGTAATTTCAGAATCTCCAACTTTTGTAAATCACATGCGAACGGTCAGTCCTATTTTAGATAATTCGAGCCCACTTTATTCTCCACAATTTGTCAAACAAACACAATATTTAACAAAAAATTTGAAAAACAATTCAAATATAAGAGATAATTCGGATTTTGTATCAGTGAATACCGTTCAAGTTTCTAAAGAACCAAATCCTCCGATTAAAGTTAATTTAATTAATGGGGAACCATCGAGAAAGGGCATTTTAAAAACTGAAAAATTTATTACCAATGATGTTTTATCATCTGATTCTTTTAAAAAAGAATTAATGCAACGTATAAAATCGCCCAAAAGTCCAAGTTTTACAACTAATAGTACTGTTTTAAGTTCTACTCCTATCGAAAATCAAACATTGAAATCTTCATCATCTTATAATAAATTTGAACGCATTCAAAGTCCCATCGACAGATCCCTAAGCCCGTTGAATAAAGTAACGATAACATCAAAAGTTTACAAATCAACCGAACGGAGTTCAAGTCCAATGATAAAAAATTCCAGCCCAGTAATTTTTAATAATCAAAGGGATTTTAATGATATGGAAGAAAACACGGATAAATTTTCAAATATTAAAAGTAAGTTTTTTCATTATTATTATTTAAGGAAAATAAGTTTAAGAGAATTTTACGAAAGTGATTCCAGCAATTTCCCCGAAAAAAAAAAAATTCCTGTCATTTGAACAAATTATCACTTTCATTTAATAGAAATTAATTTTAAATAATAATATTGTGTTATGTAACATTGTAATAATTTCATGTTAATATTTCAGTCACCAGTAAAAGTAATTCATCCTCATATTACAACAGTTTGAATCGCATTAGTAAACAAGAAACGTCAAAGGATTACGTCGATGCTTCACATCCACGATTTTTAGAAAAGGACAATATTTCATTTAAAAATTCAATTAAGGTAAATTCTGTTGACAAACCTGTGACCAAATAGGCATGTTTGGCATAAATCATTGATTAAAATCAATTACATTTTTGTATTTTTTTCTTCATCAATTAGAGTCCATTGATGTCATCACCATCGCCAGGGTTAGCTCGAGGATCTGCACAAGGCGATTCTCTTAAACTTGTACCTATAAACGTGCAATCCGAGATAGATTTGGATTTGGGTCCAGATATTGTACCCTCCGATGTGAATGTTATCATTATAGGTAACTAATACCGTTAGAATAATTAGAATAGAATGTAAAAAATCAAATTGATTGAAAAAATGATAATAATTACGTTTTAAATGTGGGTAATTTGTTTTTTAGCGCCTTCTCGTAAAGACGTACCTGTCAGAATAATAAAATCAGTGTTCAAAAAGAATTTATCAGCTATATTTACAACCTCGGAAGTCGGAGAACATTATGTCGACGTGAGAGTAAAAAATCAAAGAATTTCTGGATCGCCATTTCGCACTCATGCATACAATGCTCGTGCTATTAAAGTTGGAAATATTCCTAACGGAAAAATAGGAGAATCTGTAGAATTCGAGAGTACGTTTCTTATTTATTTTTTTTATAATAATAATAATAATATTTTATTAATAATCATATAATGTAATTTGGAATTGTATTTTGTGAAAATAACTTTATTAATTATTATTTGCATTTCATACTTTTATTTAAATTTAAATTTGTTATGAAAAAAAAAAGGATGTAATTATAATTAATTTAATTACAGTTGATGGTTCTGAAGCCGGATCTGGAAATCTTGAGATATTGGTTAATGGAGGACACGTTACTTCCTTTGTCCGAAATCTTGGTCAGCAAAGGTTTTTGGCATCATTTGTTCCTCATCAAGCATTAGTTCATATGATTGAAATTAAGTTTAATGGTGAATACGTACCAGGTAAGGTTTATTTATTTTTTTTTAATATTTCACGGGACACTGAAAATTAAAAAACCACTTTTTAAAGTTTTATTATTAAGTTTTCTTTTATATAATCTTAACATTTTCGGTAAAATAATTTTTTTTTCTTTTTGAAATTCGTGTCATTAATTCTCTGAATATTAAAATGATCAACTTACATTTTACGTAAACCGACGGAACTTGATAAATACACAATATAAATAAATATTATTTCTTTAACAATTTATCACTTTATCGTTTCACCGTTTAATAAATTTTTTATTAATTAACTGAAAGCAAAAAAAAAAAAAAAAATTATAATAATGTCCAAAAGTTAGATTTTTTTTTATTGAATTGGCTTGTTAGGCTGAATTTTTTATATAAACCGAAGTCATTCAGGTACATTATAAAGTTTTAATTTAAGAGGGCGCACCTTTCAGTATGTTTTAGTCTTAGTGTTGGTGAGTTTGTGAAACGTCATCTTTAATTTTCTTTTTTTTTTCTTTTTTTTGCCATATTGCTCAATGATAATTATTTAGGTTTAATATTTCGGTTTTTTCGCGATTCGTTTTATTTATCCCGGATTTTTATCGCCTCGTTTTTAAATAAATAAATAAAATATTTTTTATATTAAAGAAATGTAAAATAATTCAAGAGTGGAAGCCATTTTAATTTATTTGTGCGTGGTTATGTGTTCATATTAAAAATATTTCTTTTTTTTTTTTTTTTTTTTTCTCCTCATTCGGAATAAAAATTTTTTAATATTTAAATAATTTCGGTAAATTTTATAATTTGTTAAGCGGTATAATCGATTGAAATTGAAAATTTATTAATTAATTATTGATTGGTGAGTTTAATATTTTATTTGTCCTCCTTAATAATCGTCTACTGCTTTTTTAATAATTTATGTAAATTAATATATTTCGGCCTTTAAAAAATTTTTTTTTCATGTTAGTAAAGGGATTCATCTCTTTGTAACAAAACAATTGAATTTTTATTACATTCAATTAAAAATAATAATAATAATAATAAATGAAGGTAAAATGTAAATAGAAAGTTTTTTTTTTTTTTTTTTAAAGTGTTATTGAAATTTTTTTTAAAACAGGAAATTCAGGTGTCCAACCTAATAATAATGATACATTCATTTTATTATGAAAGTATTTACGATTTATTATAAGTATTTCTTGTCTTTTTTTTTTTTTACGGTTTTTAGTTCTTATTTCAATGGTTTGATGACCTACTTATCATTTATTTACAATTATTATTATTATTATTATTATTATTATTATTATAATATGCATACATTTATTGAATTTATTAAACGAAAAATTATCAAATAATTTTTTCCTCTAAAATTTCCCATTTTGTGCGACTAAATTATTAAAAAATTTCTCTTTTATTTAAAAAATATTTTTTTTTTTTACACGGATGATATTTCTATTGTATTTTAAATTATAAAAAAAAAATGTTTTTTATTTTTAACCATAAAAAAAAAAAGAAAAAAAAAATTTAAACGGTAATATACCATTTTAAAAAAAAAAAATAGGTATTTAAATTCTTTAGTCTATAAAATAGAATCCGTTACAACAAGATGGTGGTTCAATGTACTTTTTATACCCGTGAGCAAAATATTTGAAGTAAAAGTTTTAATTTTTTTTTAAACTGTAGCCTACATAATAATAATAATAATATAATTTCGCTTTTGATTTTTTTTTTTATGTGTGTGTCCGTGAATATAAATTAAAATATAAATAAAATTTTATTATTTTTTTTATTTTTTTTATTTTTTTTTTTTTTTTTTAGGTAGTCCTTGGCGAGTGACAGTTTCCAGCGGCAAAGCCATGGCTGTTCTCGGTGAAACAGTCAAGCTGGTGCCAGCTGGTTCTACTGCCGAATTTTTAATTAGTGCTCCCGGCAGTTCAAAAGGAAATTTTGATGTTCAAGTCATTAGTAAGTCAATTATAATAATTTATTAAATTATCGTTTGAATATTACGTAAAGTACAAACAAAAAAAAAAAATAATGATAATAATAGATTTACTTAGATTTGTAAAAAATTCTGCGTGACATTAGTCAATATCAAATAAATTTCCGTTATTATTCAACATTAAAATCAATTTAAAATAAAATTTTTTCAAATTTCCAATTAATATTTTAATTACATGGATATTAAAAAAAAATTATTATTATTATTATTTTTTTTTTGTAATAATAAATAAAACGCTAGTCATTGTATTACGTTTCGTGAAACCGGTTTTTATTACATTAAAAATTTATTTATTTATTTTTTTTTTTTAAATAAGGTCCATCAAAAAAACAAATCGATTCCCGCATTGTGGAAGAAAAACCTTCGGAATTTAGAATTGAATTTACTCCAACCGAAGTGGGAAGTCATTTTGTGGAAGTTAAAATTAATGGAGTGAAATTAGCCGGTGGGCCACTAATTGCTAAGGTGTATAATAGCAGCATGATAAGAGTTACGGATGTTGCCAGTGGCGTCGTTGGGCAACCGTGTCAATTTAAAGGTTTTTTTTTTAATTATTATATTAATTTTATATATATTTAAATTTTAGTTTAAATTTATTAAATTTTTAAATTATTATTTCAGTTGATGCTAGCCAAGCAGGAGAAGGACAATTGGAGATTTCAATAAATGAAGGTCAAGTCCCCAATCATGTACAGGTGGTAGGTGGAGGTCGCTGTTTGATTTCTTTTACTCCCGAACAACCGAAACCGCATTACATAAGCATCAAGTTTAACGGCGAAACCATATTCGGTTAGATAAATTGTCATTTACACTCGATGAACGAAAAGACTAGACAAATAATTGATTATTTTTCATAAAACTTTTTTTCAGGTTGTCCATTTGTTTGTTCGGTCTCCGACAACAACAAAGTCACATTGTCTTTGCGTAATTTGGAACTCATTCCTGTTAACCAAGTTGCTCGTTTTCATATGACCGTAGACGATAATAACAACGCAGAACTTGCTGTGTCAGTTAGAGGTGAATATACTAAAAAAAAATTACGATTTTGTCACTGACCGGAAATTAGTTATTCATATTTTGAAATTTAATTCGTTTTATTATTTACAAACTCTTTTGTTAAAGTTTATTTTAAAGATTGCATTTCATATTAGCAGAAAAAAAAAAAAAAGTTACGATTGATTGATTGAATTTTTTTTTCCTTTGAATTTAGGTCCCACTGGAGAATTACCCGTAAAAGTAAGCGGTAATATAGATAGTGGCTTTGTTGCCGAATTTACTCCAAGAGAAGTTGGTGCACATTCTCTTACCGTCGAATATAATGGACAGCCAGTAGGAGGAACTCCTTTTACTTCGAAAGCATATGATGCTAAAGGAGTTTACGTTGGACCTTTGCCTAAAGGTCAAGTTGGAAAAACCTTAGAGTTTTTAGGTAAGCTTTAAAAATGCGGGCAGATTACGAACAATTTAGTAAATATATATAATTTTTTATTTTTTTCGATTCGATTAAATTAATTAATTAAAAAAAAAAACATAAATTTAAAATATTTAAAAGAAAATTTTATTTAATTGACCTTCAGGTTTAAAAACTTTGATATTTTATTTAAGGTCTATAAAAAATATTCACACATTCTAAAATTGATACTAGGATAAATTTCTATATCCAAATAATATTTTATAAAAAAAAAAAATTAATTTCAGTCGACGCAAGTCAAGCTGGCGAAGGAAATTTAGAAATCACAATATCGTCTCGGGGACATAACATACCTACTCAAGTTCTTCCACAAGGCAATGCTCGGTTTTCCGTTTCATTTTTGCCCATTGAAGCATCTGACCACGTAATCAGTATTAATTTCAATAAAGAAAGCGTACCTGGTAAGTTTATTTGTTTTTTTTTTATTTAATTTGATATTGAGAATTGAAATTTAACCCTTTAGTATAATTCTATTTTTTTTTTTTTATGTTTTCCTGTTAAAAAAAAAAATAATAATAATAATTTATTAATTATTTTTGCAAACATTTAATAAAAAATATAATGAATGTTGTTAATTGTTAAATTAAATATCGTTTTTAATATTTTATTCATGTTTTTTTTTTTTCAGGCTCACCTTTTATAGCTGAGGTACAAGGCGATTCGCCGCATAATATAACGGTTTCGGGTTCGTCATTAAGCGCGGCTCCGGTCGGTAAAAATTCTTATTTCACATTGAGCAATGTGGCCGGTGGTGTTGAAGATATCGAAGTTAACGTTGAGGGTAAGTTTTTTCTTTTTTTTTTAAAAAATTATAATGATAAGAGACATTTTTTTTATCATTAAAAAAAAAAAAAAATTTTTTTTTACGTAATTGCATGTTTTCTGTTTTTCCATTTCTTTGCACTGCGTTGTCTGTGTCACATTTATTGTTATTATGTGTGTTCCAGGTTCGACTCCTTATAGACTGAGACATTATTAACCTACTTTTTTTTTTTTTTTTTTTAATTATTAATAATTTTATTAATTTTTAATTAATTATTTAAGCATGCATATTTACCATTTGGGCATCACAAGTCCTATCAAACATCATCTGTTTCAATTGTTTGCATGAATTAAATTTCCCCGCCCCCCCCACCCACCCACCTCCTCAAATAGCGTTTTAAAATTAATTGATACGGTTTGCATTTTAAACTTATTTCGGAGTCATAAATTAATTAATTATGTACCATGCAAAATTACATTAAGTATAATTTTTTTAATTTTAATTTAATTAAATTACGATGATTACGTCATTCGGTTTTGTACAAAAAAAAAACATTCTAGAATATTATTCGATTGTTCAAAACTTATGATACCCGTTAATATTTTTATTTTATTTTGCTATAATTTAAATTATGACTCCATTGTTGGCCCTTTTTTTTCGGCAACATTTTTTTTTGTTACTATACGGAATTGAATGTTATAAAACATTAATTAAAATTTAATTCATGTAAATAAAATTGCTTTATCTCCCCCCCTCCCCTCCCACTTTAATTCTTGCTTTCTAAAATATAACCGTTTTAAAATTTGGTGATGGTGCAATCGGTAATTCATTTCAGGTGGTTGTAGGTTCAGGTTGCACGGTCCTCTTCGGTCGCCAGGAATTTAAGGTAAATTTTCCTTTTTATCATTAAAAAAAAAAAAAAAAAAAAAAAAAAAAAAATTAATTTTGTAAATCGAAATTTTTTTTTTTTTTTTGAATTTGAATTTACCATTTAATTTTATATTAATAATTTATATACTTAAAAAGAAAAGAAAAAAAAATTATGGAAAAGTAATGATTAGTATTATTATTATTATGGTTTTATAACATTGATGATTATTTATTTGATTTATTTAAATTTACTTAAATTAATTGTTTGAATTCAATAACCAGAGTAACTCGAATATAATTTAATTTTTGTCAGTTAATGTTAACCGTTAAAAAAAAACAACTAAATATTTGTTTTTATGTACTTACGTATGTTTATAGTTCTCAATCGACCTAAAAAAAAAAAAATTAATGATTTAAAAAAAATTTTTTTTTTTTTTTTTACTAATAAATGGATTAATAATAATATCATTTCATGAATGGAAGTTGGGTTAATAATTAAATTCTAACAATCTCCATCGCTTAATTGCTAAATTAAAATATTTAACCAAAAAAAAATTTAAAAAAAAAAAAAAGAAAAAATTAATAAATTTTTTTTTTTTTATAAATGACTGATTTAATAATTGTACTCAACACTAACATACGACATTAAAAAAATTAACAAAAATTTTGGACGGTTTGACACATAAAATACAGGTCCCAATGGACAAAGTGTACCGGCACAAATGAAAGAAAATGGAGGCGGAATTCATACAGTTGAATTCTCTCCAAAAGTTGTTGGAGAACATAAAATAATGATAAATTATAGAGGAGTTGCTATTGCTGGAAGTCCATTCAAATGTAAAGTTTACGATTGCAAAGCAATTAAAGTTAAAAATGTGGATAAAGGCGTCGTTGGAAAGCCCGTCACGTTTTTAGGCAAGTCCTTTTCTTTACCTTTCAATTTATTTTTTAAAAAAATTTTAACTGTAATAATAATAATAATAAATATTTTTTTATGGTACAGTCGAAACAAGTCAAGCAGGACCTGGAAATTTGGAAGTGACCGTTAATGGAGGTCGAGTTCCAACATCAGCTCAAGCTCAGGGTTCACAAACATATGCAATATCATTCACACCCCGTGAAGCGATTCCTCATACTGTTGAATTAAAATTTAATTCGGAGCATTTACCCGGTATAAAAAAAAAATGCATTTTAATTGTGTTTAATTGTTTTCTATAAAAAAAAAAAAAAAAAATTTATTTCTAAATATAAAAATGAATATTTTAAATGAATAGGAAGCCCTTTTGTCTGCCAAGCTACAGATGCGGCTAAAATAGTGATGCCTTCCGAGGGAATGGAAAAAGTTGGCGTTGGACGTGTGGCTTCATTCGTTATTGAAGCTGATTCTAACATGGGCGTTTTGGATATTCAAGTTTTAAGTCCGACTAGAAAAAATGTTCCTGTTAATTTAAATAATTTGTCATATAATAAATACGAAGCGAGTTTCACTCCGGAAGATGTGGGTAAGTAAAAAAAGACAAAAAAAACATTTTATTATTAACAAATTAAAAAAAATTTAATTGATTATTAAAAAATTTTAAAATAATTTCAGGGGATCACAGTGTTGAAGTAAAAATCAATGACAACCACGTCGATGGCAGCCCTTTTTTGGTCAAAGCTTACGATGCGAACAGAGTTAAAGTGGCCGACGTTAATTCAGGAATCGTCGGAAAACCTGTTTTTTTTAGCAGTGAGAATTATTGATTTAAAATTCCTAATTTTAATTATTCTTCGTTCCCACTTTTTTTTCTATTTTATGATTAAAAATAATTTTTTTTTTTTTTTTATTATTCAGTTAACGCTTCACAAGCCGGAGCTGGAAATTTAGAAATTATCGTATCCGTAAATGGTAGAAATGTTCCGAATTATGTTCAGTCCGAGGGTAATGCTAAATTTCGAGTAAATTTTAAACCTCAAGAAGCAGCTCCTCACAATCTTAGCGTGAGATTTAACGGAGAGCCCGTACCTGGATCTCCTTTCGTTTGCAAAGTATTAGGAAGTAATCAAATAATTGTTTCCGGCCCTGCGCTTAAAATGACACCGATCGGTCAAGAAACGTGCTTATATATCGACCCTCAAGTAAGTGTTTGGAATACCCAACATTTATTTCCTATTTAACTTATTTATTTTATAATTATTAAATTAAATGAATTTTTGGCTTTATTAGAACTCCGGTATCAATGCGCAATGTCAGGTTTCCATACAATCCCCAAGTGGGAAAATGTTACCCGTCGTATTAACTAAATTGGATGGAAAATATTCAGCCAGTTTCACTCCGGATGAAGTCGGCCGACATTCCATAGATGCTATTCTCGACAAAAATCTTGTTAAAGGCAGTCCATTCGCATGTAACGTTTATGATGTTGCTAGAGTTAAAATCTCTGGTTTGGGACCCACAAAAGTATTGTCATAATAATTTATCTTTCGTTTGAAAAAGTTATTTTTACGAATATTTATTAACGCAGTCTCTCTCTTTTTTTTTTTTTTGAAGGTTCAAAAACCGGTTACATTCAGAGTTGATGCGAGTGAAGCTGGTGAGGGAACGTTGGAATTAGTTGTTTCGACAGAACGTTCTACGGTGAAAGCAGAAGTTGTGGCTTGTGCAAGAGGTCTCTATGACGTCACGTTTGTTCCCCACGAAGCCATAGTTCATTTTGTCAATATTTCTTTTAATGAAGAAGATATTCCAGGTATTTACATATATATATATATATATACATTCAGTATTTGATTATTGCATTTATGTTTAGTATTTAAAAAAACTTACTCTCACAGTTATTCTATCATTAATTGCGTAAATAATATTCAATCGGTTTTTATTATTTATAGGAAGTCCGTTTAAATGTGAAATCCTCGATGCGGGAAATAAAGACCGGCCAGCTTTTAAAAGAGATGATAATTCTATTTCAATTAAGGGAGAAGGTCCGAAGGAAAACGTGGTCGGACAGAAAACATTTTTCGATGTTCAAGTGTTTGGAGCTAATGGTCACATAGACATGGAAATATTAGATGAAAAAGGTTCTTGCGTCCCTTGCAAAGTTCAAAGAATCACAAACGGGAAATACAAAGCGATTTTCACTCCTACCGTTACTGGAGTGCATCAGATAACAGTTTTTAACAACGAACAACTCATCAATAAACAACCTTTTGTTATTGAAGTTTTTGATCCCGCAGCCGTTCACGTTTTAGATTTAGAACCCGGTTTTACAAATAGGGCAACTTCTTTTAAAGGTAAATTTTATTTACTTTTTTCGCAAAGATTAAATTACTTTTTTAAACAGTATAATTAATGAAGGAATATAGTTGATTCTAGAGAAGCCGGGCCTGGAACTTTAACTGTTAGCGTGAGAGCAGCTGGAAGTCCTATTAAACATTCCGTCAAAGATTTGAGCGAGGGTCTCCACGAGATAACTTTTCACCCCACTATAGCCATTCCGCACAAAATAGATATTAAATACAACGGTCTCCACATTCGTGGTAAAATTTTTATTACGTCAAAAAATAATTGGAGATCGACGTGAAAAAGCTCGGTTAAGAGTTAAATAATATTTTACAGGTTGTCCTTTAGAGCTACCGATCAAAAATCCAGCCGTCGGACAAGATGTCATGGCTACTGGATCGGGATTATACGAAGCAAAAGTTGGAAAATCTAGTTCTTTTGTCATTGAAACACTCGGAAATCCGAGCAAAGATTTTGATATAGTTATCACGGGTCCAAATTCTTCGGCAGTACCCGTTCGATGTTACCAACAAAAAGATGGGAATTTGTTAGCCGAATTCACAGCTCAAAATGCAGGCACGTTAAATTTTTAATTTATAGCTCATTTGTTTAAAAAACAAAAATTTCATTTTCTTTTTTTTTTAAGTATTTAAATAATAAGGGAAAGCTAAAAATTTGTAATCCAGTGACCCTTTTGATTGGTTTTTAGGTTTGTACAAAATTGAAGTGAGCCACGGTACCCGTCCAGTCAGAGGTAGTCCCTACATTTGTCACGTTCACGATTCTTCAAAAGTAAAAATCCAGGATGTAATAAAACCGGTGTCTCTTAATTCTCCAGCAACACTTAAATGTAAAATTTTTAATATCAATTTAAAAATTCTTAGGCTATCCTTGACGGTTTTTTTTTTCTACTAATGTAACATTTATTTTAGTGATGCGAAAAGGTGCGGGATTCGCCGAACTTGACGTCGCAGTGACAAGTCCTTTGGGTCAAGATTTGCCCATTCAGATAAAATCTGGACCAGATAGAGAATCAGATTTAATAGAATTTACTCCTACGCTTCCAGGAAATTATAAATTTAAAATAACTTACGGTGGAGATGAAATTCCTGGTTAGTAAATAAGAAGTGAACGTATATAAAGTATTAATATTTTGACAATATTATTATTATTATTATTATTCAGTGCACTTATTTATAATTTAATTTATTTAAGGTTCTCCTTTGCTTTTAACATGCGAGGACTCGGAACCGGTAAAAGCTTACGGAGATGGTATTAATTACGGACAAGTAGATAATTTGGTTACTTTTCGGGTGAACGCAAGTAGCAAACCCGTAATAAAAATAGATGGTCCAGACACGTCTCCATCTCCAAAAATTGAAATGGAGAGTTCGGGTGTTTATGTAGTATCATATGTTCCGAGAGAAATCGGAGTTTTTGACATTCAAGTCATAGTTGGAGACCGTGAAATTTTGGGTAAAAAAAAAAAAAAAATTTTTTTGTTTTGTTTTTATTTTTATCAGAGGAAAAATATATGTATTTATATTGTTTCAGGTTCTCCCTTTCATCCAAAGATTGTAGACGCAAGAAAAGTTAGAGTCATCGGTGGTTGGGAAAGTATCTGTGATTCTTCTGGCAAACTTGAACTACAAGTTCATCAGACAAAAAAAATTAGTCTCGACGTTTCAGAAGCCGGGCCCGGTACGATTTTTCACGTTTCTTAATTATAATATAAATTTTTAAGGTATTGAAAAAAAACTGTTTATTAACACAGGTTCATTAACTGCCGAATTCCGAGGTCCCGACGGAGAAATAATTCCAGCCGCCGTTGGTCCTATAACGTCTAATAAAGTTAAGGTTTTACTCACTCCCAGGGATTCCGGAGAGCATTCTTTGCATTTGTACTTCGGAGGTGTCCCAGTTCCCGGAACTCCTTTAAAAGGTTAATTTTATTTCATTTAAAACATGCTAAGAATTAATTAAGATTGACATTCTCAATATTAAATTCGTTTGCCGTAGGAATAGCCGATGGATCAACCAATGGAGGACCCGTCAGAGTTGTGTTGACAGGAAAGGGTCTTGTTTCCGCCAAATGTCATCAAGAAGCGGAATTCACGATTGACGGATCACAAGCTGGTCCCGGCGTACCGGAAGCCTCGTTATCCGGCAGTAAAGGAGACGTGCCCATCAATTTAGAAAGTATCGGAGAGAGCATATTCAGGGGTAGTTACACCCCTTCACTCCCTGGAACTTATTTTCTTAACGTCATGTGGGCCGACAGGTAATAATAATAATAATTTACGCAGTTGTTGTCGAAAAATGAATAACAATTAACGGAGGAATTAATAAATTTTTGTTTTTATTCGTTCGTTTGCAGACAAGTTAAAGGTTGTCCGCTCAAAGTAAATGTTACGGCTTCTGCGGATGCGTCGCAAGTTGCTTGCAGCGGCGACGGTTTACGAGTGGGTACCGTCGGCAAAGAAATCCGATCGTTCATTGACACTCGACGAGCCGGCCCCGGGGAGTTGACAGCTCATTGCGTGGGACCTCACAAGGTATTTTTAAAACACGCGCTTGTTTATTTATTTATTTATTTTTTTTCGATAAATGAAATGAAAATTAACGTTAATATTAAAATAACAAAAAAATAAAGTTTTATTCGGTTTTTTTTTTGTTTTAGGTTGCATATTGCGAGTTGTACGATCACGGAGATGGAACTTTTACACTTAATGTTAAACCACAAGAATCGGGTCGTCACGTATTGACAATAAAATATGGCGGAGATCACGTTCCGGGATCTCCGTACACTCTCAGAGTTGCCGGAGCACCCGATCCATCAAAGGTCAGAGTTTACGGTCCAGGTATCGAACACGGAGTCTTGGCAACTTTTCAAAGCAGATTCATATGCGATACGAGGGGTGCCGGTGCCGGTCAACTTACAGTTAGAGTGAGAGGTCCAAAAGGTATGTCAGTTAAATTTATTTTTCCCCTTTTATTCACTCCCTCACTTAATAAAATTTATAATTTTAATGACTAATTTTATTTTTTTCTATCTCGAAGGTGCTTTTCGTGTCGAAATGCAAAGGGAAAGTCAAAAGGATAGAACGATTTTATGTAAATTTCATCCTACGGAACCTGGAGATTATAGGGTCGAAGTTAAATGGGCCGGAGAACTTGTACCTGGTTCTCCATTTAATGTTATGATTTTTGATACTCAGGAAGAACTCACTCGTTTTTTGCAGGTTAATTTTTTTTCTACACTTTTTTTAAAATGTCCCTTATTATTTTAACCTTTTATTTATTTTTTTTTTTTTTAATTTTCAATCAGGGTCAACAATCCCCGGGATCCGATGTGTACGGAAGCGTAAGTTACGGTCACGTACCTGGATCTTTGGGAAGACAATCATGGAGAGGATCTCAACCCACTCTGTAATTTGTCATTTGAAAATAAAAATATTAATTGAAAACCCGTGTGTGTGTGTGTGTGTGTGTGTAAAAAAAATCTTTGAGTGAATATAAATATATTAAAGTGTATGTCGCAATCACATATTATATTTTACTAATAATAATAATAATAATAATAATATTAATTTATATTTAATAAATTCAATATAAATATTTTTAATAACTTTTATAATTTTTTTTATTTATTTTTTTTTAGGAAAAATTATTAAAATATTATTAAAATTAATTAACTTTTGGACAAAAGAAAAATAATTTTCAATCGTTTTTAATTAACATTAAAATGAAATATTATTTTTAATAATAAAATACAAAGACAAACACGCTAATATTTGACTAATTATGACGTCATAGTGAAACAAAAAAAGAAAAATGGATTAAAATGTTAGTTGAGAAAATTGGGAAAATGGTGGATAATGATTATTGATTTAATTATTGGCAATATTCCTAAATTTCTATATAACATCATAATAAAAAAAGTTCAGTTACAGCATTTGTTTTTTTTTTTTTTTTTAAGAATAATAAAATTAAAATAAAAATAATAATGGAGACATTGTAAATTACAGAAGCCGTACAACTCCCAGAAAAATAATTTTAGAAAATTTAAATGTTGTGATCTATCTGACTACTTGGATTCGAAAAAAAACCGTGTCCTGAACAATGGGATGGACATTTGGAAAAAGGATTCGTCGTATTTAAAAAATGGTAATGATAATAATAATAATAATTAGTAGTAATAGTAGTTATATTTTACCTCCTCGTGTGCGTATCCATTATTTAAACAAAAAAAAAAATTTTTTCCTTTTATTAAGAAACCGTTCGTTATGCGATAGAAATTTAAACACAAATAAATGAATTAATCCTTTATAATTAATTAAAACTAAAAAAAAAAAAAAAAAGGATTTTTTTTTTAATGGAAACCCGTCGTCTCGTCCATTATTATTATTTTTTTTTTTTTTATTCGAGGCAAAAAATTTTCATTTGAATATTTTTTTAAAAACAATTACAATCAATTTAAAAGCCCCGATCGGCGGCGCCGGGACGGGAATTTTTTTTTTTTTTTTTTTTTATTTGCTATTTGTGGCTTTTAAAAGTCGGTTTTACCCCAACATACACTTTAATGAAATATTAAGTGGCGTGTTTCGACTTTAATAAATATATATATATATATATTTTATGTATGTATATATATATATATATATATATATATATATATATATATATATAAATAAAGTCGTATATTATAACGTGTGATATAAAAAAAGAAAAAAAAATTAATAATTCATTTTGAAAAATCAATATCGATTTAAATCAAAAAAGATTAATGGCGGTTCATTAAAAAAAAAACTCGGAATTTAACTTTTTTATTTTTTATTTTTTTACGTAATTTTATCCGCCACTGATTGTAAATGACTCTCGTCGTATAAAACCAGAATATCTTTTTCATCCAAACATGGTATAGCTCTTGAACGTCTGAAAGGTTTTTTTAATTCTAGAATGTTCTTTTACCAACATTAATTGAAATATATCTTCTTCTTTTTCTTCTTCTTCTTCTTGTTCTTTTCTAACAATAATAATTTTTTTTTTTTTTTAAGCGCTGTGTTTTTTTTTTTTTTTTTTTTTTTTTTTAAACATGGCACAATAATCAACATTTACATATATTTATAAAAAAAAAAAACTCATTTCGATTCTCTTTGATTTATATTATTAATGACATCCTTGCACTAATTCTTGTTATTCTTTCTTATTATTATTATTATTTTCTTACGATTGCAGGTATAATTAGGTATAGGGAAATGCTTTTAAGTTTTTTTTTTTTTTTTTTTTGAGAAATTTTATTATATTCAAAAAGGATAAAAAAATCGAGTCTAAGGTTTTCAATACAGGTTTTCTTTTATATTATTATTATTATTATTTCATTTTTAAACACGACGAGCTTTTTAAATTTTACTATGCGAGAGTAAAAATATATAATTATTACATACACGAGGTGGCCATTTTTATTTTTATTTTTTGTAAATAATAATAACGAAAAAATTAATTAATTTATTGTGGCGCATGCCTATGAATGAATCATTATATATGAATCATGCGTTTATATATATATGAAATGCGTTTATATAGTTAAAGAATTTTTCATTTTATTTTAATTCCATTAATGCCTTTAATTATATGCGTGTAAAAAAAAAAAAAATTTTTTTATTTTTTTTATATTCAAATTCGCGTACGAATTTTTTTTGCAAAAAAAATAATTCAATTACCGCAACGGGGTTCCATTAAAAAAAAGGTGGAGACTTTAAATGCGAGGAGGTAACAAAATAACAAAACGAACCAATGAAATTTAAAACGAAAAAAAACTTAAATTTCATTGGTTGTGGGGAAAAAATTTTTAAAAGACTTTAATTCGAATACATTTATTTAAGGGAGAGGTAACAATTTACAAGTAAATACGTTTCACGCTCATCAGTCGTTAAAAACTAATATTTAAGATTGATAAATTAAATTTTTTTTTTTTTTTTTTAATAATAATAATGGAAAATATATGTTACTAATGGAAAATATTTGTTTCGGCCATTTACATTGACTTTTATAAAAAATAAAAAAAAAAAAAGGAATTTTCGATTTTAAGAAAGAAATCCGTAAAAGTTATTTTTTTTTTTTTCGTGTCGTTGACGTTCTATATATATTATTATTACTACATAGTTTCGGACATTTTTAATTTTATCCTATACTACGTAAAAAAAAAAAAAACCGAATTTTTATACACACAAAAATCTACGTATAATAATAATGATGAAATTTTCACGGAAAATAGAAAAAAAATTAAGTACAAATGATAATGATAAAATTAACATGTTAAAAAACTTTTGATTTTTATTAATTGAAATTTTAACTTTTGATGACGTAGACGTAAATATTTTTTTTTTTCTGCATTCCATTAAAAATAAATAAAAATATTATATAATATATAATCATTTCAACATTTTATATTTCGTGATAAGAAAAAAATTTTTTTTTTTTTTAATCAACAGGGCTACGAATAATTTTTTTAAATACAAATAATAATAATAATAATAATAATAATAATAAATAAATATTATTAACTTTTAGAGGGAATGAATAATTATATACAAACAAACACTTAGTAGTAAACTTTTTGTCTTTAATACTTATATGCTTAATTATTACGAAATGTTTATTTTAAATTTTTCTTCGGTTTTTTTTTTACGTATGTAAATAATCGTAACCGTCGTTTTAATTTTATTATAAATAAATAAATAAATAATAAATCCAACCGCAATAAGAATTTTTTTTTTTTTTTTTGTTTCGGATCAAAATATTTTTATTAACAATACATATGGGATATGGTGAATGCGTGTAAAGGAAATTGTTAAATGACTATAATATTATTTTATTTTTTAATAAATTTTGAAATCTTTTTATGTTAATAAGAAATTTTACTAAGATTTGATATTTTACTTTAGCAATAATACAAATACGTTTTTGGTTTTTTTTTAAAGACTTTTAAATTGAACCTGAGGTATATTTAAAATAAATAAAAAAAGAAAATTTTTTAAAATTACGTTTGAAATGGTTAAGTTATAAGTTTTTTAAATTAACAACCTCAGTACACGGTCGCACGTTTATTGAATTATTTTTTAAATTCTTTTGTGTTTTTTTTTTTTTTTTTATTACACCCGCGTATATTATTTTATTTTTTTTAGTCTTTTAAGTAAATAAACTAAAACTAACGAACAAAAAAACAAAAAAAAAACTAATTTTTCTTTGCGGTAATACAAAGTGTAAAAAAAGAAAAAAAATGATTAATCAATTGTATTTTTTTATATACGTAAAAAAAAAGGTGAAAATAACTTTTTTATTTTGATTATGTTGTGCGTGTGCGTGTGTGTATGTGTGTGTAAAGTGATTTTAATCATTTGACAATAAGAGAAAAATAAAAAAAAAATTTTAGGATTCACCAAAAGTCAGGAAAAAGCTAAACATATTGAAAATTCACAGTAAGAAAATCAAATTTCAATTTTTTTTTTAAGAGCTTTATTTTAAAAAAAACAGGGAGGGGGAGGAGGAGGAATGGTAAAATATTTATATAAAATTATTATTTTACCTATTCGTCATTAAATTATAAAAGTTAAATTTTCAAATTTATTGACAAAAAAAAAAAAAAAGAAGGAAAATTAATCCGTGTCGTCGTGGTTACAATGTTTTTCTCATGCAAATGAAAAACTAAAAATGTCCGTACAAATAAAAAAATTATTTTCTATAAGATTTATTAATTAATATTTAATTATTAAAATGTTATTTTATTTATTTTACGTTACGTTACATCGTTTAAAAAATTCATATCACTATAATAAATTTTTTTTTTTTTTTTAATAATAATGAAATCACCGTTTTTTAAATAATATAATATCGGATATTTTATTATATTGTAATAATAATAAATAAGAAACGGTAAATTAACCCCCGATCAAATAATGTAAGTTTTTTATAAATGAAACCACCACCACCACCTTCGACGGACGATTTTCAAGCTTTTTATCCCTTTTTATCCTAAAAAATCGGATAGAAACCTTTGAAATGAATTCTGGATGAAATTGAAAATTCCTTATTATTATTAAAAAGTCAATTAAATAAGTGTAAAAAGAAAATTTTTTAATAAGTTAGTCGGGATCTTATTATATATATGGCCGTTTGAGAAAAGGGTGAAAAAAAGAAAGAATGAAAAGGTTTTTTATTTTTAAGTTGGAAAATTCATGAGTTTAGCGTTTCTAGAGAAACCTCTAAACTTGATGCTATTATATGATAGGACGATTGAAATGAATAATGATTGGCTGTGTGTATGAGAGCAAAACGAGGGGGTAAAAAAATAATAAGAAATTGTAATAGGGGTGTGTGACACACAACGCACCCCCTATCCATAAACGTCTGATATCCCCCGTATAATTTAGT